ATAGTTTTCAATTTTACAGTACCTTGCATGTACATCGTAATGAGAAAGTTCAATTGAGGTGTTGCTTCAAATAGTTAAAAAAAAAAACAAAACAACTCAACACCTGTCCACTTGGGGTGAAAAACAATCACTGCACTATGCAGTACCATCTTCAGAGCCTATTTTTATCCTTTCTCTGTTGAAACAATCTTGTTTCTTCAACTGTTAACTGATCATTGTGTAAACTCAATCCAATCCAGGGCCCCAACTGAAAAGTGATCACCTCAAAAAAAATAGGCATTTAAGACTGCTTATAGCTACTGCTGCCGCATCCCACATATTTATGAGTCAGGCTTGTTCTACGAGGGAAGGATTGACACTCATTCACCAATAATCAATTTGTAACAAATAATCACATTAACAATAATAGTAATAATAATAATAATAATAATAATAATAATAATAATAATAATAATCATGATGATGAGTATAACAATGGTAATAATAATGATAACTTATAGGGGCTAGCTCAAGAACCTCACTGTTCCTCTATTCGTATTTTCTCTAGGCTCCAAAAATGATTAATCTAAGCTTTTTTGGATTTTAACTTTGATTTTTCCAGTTAATTATAAACTATTAAGATCCTATTTCACTGCAATTCAATTTTTGTGAGACTTGTTTCATACAGCAGGGCATTCTGTATTGTGGGTTAATCCGCCATTCTGCCGGGCCACTCTTCCATAGAATCAGGGTAAAGTCAAGGTATTGTATTTCGGACCTTGTTCGCTTCGCAAATTTGGCGGCTCTTTTGAGCATTTGTCGCCGATTGAAATGGTGAAGTGTTCTCTTTTCGAATGAATAAATTTTTCGTCAAAGTTTCCACGATGTGCAGATCAAATCCATTTAGTTATTTCTTCCGAGGAAAAGTCTTTTTTCAATTTTGTGCTGGAGACGCCTCTGTGAACTTATTTTGTGGTGTTACGGCAAGAACTGATAAAAATTACATCTTCGGATCTACTGGGCATAATTCGCTGATTCGAAAGGTAGAATACTCTCCAGAGAAGAAAGTTTTTCTTTTAAGTTTCCGCGAGGTACACTTTTTAAGACATTTCTGCAAGGTAAAGCTTTGTTTTTTCAAACGTCATCCTGAAATAATTGTGATGCTTAGATGCTGATTATTTTCTAAAGTAGTTTCTATGTAGCATCGGGAAACCGTATGATCTCTAGTTAATTCCGAGTACCATTCGAAGAGATCCGAAGAGATCGCCAGCAAGCGTTGAACGAGCGAAGATGTCCCGAAACACCGAAGAGTAAGAGGACGAAGAGATTCTGGTTTTTGATAGCAGAAACGGTCTACTACATTATGTTGATTAGGATTTTGGTCTATTACTCACATGAGAAACGTCTTTTACTTGAAGTGAGCTGAAATATTAGTATTGAATACTTCCATGTTGAAAATGTCTTAAATCACTTGACAGTTAGTAACCATATTTCTAAATGCAAATGTAATGTCTAGACTACAATACTTCACGTAATATAAAATGAAGTTCATCTCAACGAAATAAGTTCGGCTTGATCACCGCTCATCATAGGTGTTTCAATTTCTGGGAGTTATGGAAGGGCAAAAGAGAAAGACAGGAGAAAAGCGTTTGTTCATTTTTGTAATATCAGGTTTATTTATTTATTTTTATTTTATTATTATTTTTTTATCTGGTTGTCGTCAATTGACAACTTTTGTCGAAATTTTAGTCGCAAAATATATTTTCACTCGCCCTGGCCCTGGCGTATTTTAGACCCCGTGGGTAGATTTTTGATAAGCCATTACTATTTTGCACCATATGCGTATGGCGCAGAGCCTTCCCAATCTGGGTGACCGCTGAATACAGATTCGACTGTATTTCAAATGAATTTCCTGTCAACATTGTTTGTTTTGAGGTCAGTATTCTGTAAATTGTGTGTTCCTTACAGGTCTACTTTTAACTAGTATCGCTTGCTTACAAGTCTAGGCTCGGTTTTTCAAAGAGTGGATGACGCTATCAAGCCGATAAGTGTTACCAAAACGTACTATCGAGCGGATAGAGATTTATCCACTGGATAGCGTCATCCACCCTTCGGACAACCCTGGCCTTATGTTTTACAAGTTGACAGTGGTAACAAGGTTATTCGAGCCCCGGCCGGACCATCACTCAAGGTCTTAAAATAACTGAGAAGAATATGCTTCCTTTCTGTAACATCAAGAAATGGTTAGATATTCTAGTCTTCTCGGATAGGGACGAATAAATGGAGGTCCCGTCTCCTGCAGGGTTAGGGGTAGGAGACGTTAATTTCCCACGCACGAGATTACTGTGTGATGGATGTCCTCCCCTCCCNTATTCTGTTACAGAAAAGGTCAGTTAAAAGAGTTAAGTGCGATGTCTCATAAAGCTAGCAAAGATGGGGATGGTAATGAGATATTTAAATGCTTCCATTGTGACAAGTGTTTTGAAAGAGCACATAAACTTCGCGAACATATGAAGGTTCATTCGGATGGAAGGCCCATTAAAAGCAAGGTATGTAACAAACCCTCAAGCCAAGCAGGAAGCCTTCGCCGTCAGAAAAAAGCACATACTAGTGAAAAGCGTTTTAAGTGTGAGGTTTGCAGCAAATGTTTTACTGAAGCAGGAAGCCTTCGAAGGCATCGCAGGATACATACTGGAGAAAAGCCTTTTAAGTGCAAGGTTTGTGGAAAGTGCTTTATCGAATCGGGAAAACTTCGAAAACATGACAGGGTACATACCGGAGAAAAACCTTTCCACTGCAAGGATTGCGGAAAGTGCTTTAGCCGAGAAGAAAACCTCCGTCTACATCTCAGGGTACACAGTGGAGTAAAGCCTTATCATTGCAACGTTTGCGACAAGTGCTTTAGCCAACCAGGAAGCCTTCGCCGTAACAACAGGGTACATACTGGAGAAAAGCCTTTTCAGTGCAAGGTTTGCGACAAGCGCTTTAGCCAAGCAGAAAGCGTTCACCGTCATAACAAAGTACACTTGAGCGGAGAGTTCAGCTGCTGGATTTGTCAGGTGTTATTCCGCGCTGAGGGCGCCCTACATAAGCATTACGATGATCATATGAAACAAGCTCCTCGTACCATGAGCTAAGTTACAAAGACTATTACGTTTTAGAGACAGAGTTTGGTGTTGTTCTCCTCTTAAGTACAGCAGGCTCTGAACTATTCTGTTTGACTCTTTTATCATGACTAGTTTTTATCATGACGTGTTTTTTCCGTTGCCATGTTCCCACCAATCACGTAACTCCATTTTCTGCCTTTAAAATCACACGCAACCCACAATTCCTCTATTCGCTCCGACGAAGGGCGAACGCTCGAAACGTCAGCTTTTATAATCGTAACGGTGGCCAATTTACCATTTCTACTTTGTTGATATATTCAAATTATATAGTCATGGAACAGTTTACCATTAAGTGTAGAAAAACCAAAACCAAATTTATCACAGTGACCCGTCAATATAAAGACCGATATCATTACCAACCAATGAGGACTCGAAATGAAGGCATGCATTTTGAAACGCGGAAAACGCGAATGAGAACGTTACGATTGTTTTTACCTCTACATCTGATTGGTTGAGAAGGTAGCCCGAGTTTTGTGGACTAATCACAAAGCGAAGAAAGTAAAACCACAGCAATCCCAGAATTAACTTCAGACACTTCGTTGAAAATTTCTTTGACTGCATAGTGGAAAATTAACATTTTCATCTTTCATACTTTTATACTGTAAAATTTCGGTTATAAGCCTTTAAAACCCTTTACGGCGGCCAATTTACTGATTTTCAACTCGGTTGATGAAAACCATAATTACCTTATTATACCCCCCACCGACGCAGCAGCACAGTTTATTTAGAAACTTACCCCCTTTATATATATCTGGGGCGTAGCTACCTGCACGCACGATTCGCACGTGTGCACCTAAAAAAGAAGAAAGTAAAAAAAAATTAAAAAAATTAAAAAAAATAACAAAATAGCAAAAAATAAAAGATAATTGTTTTAAACAGCACAGTTTGCCTTAATTCATTTGTTTTATTTTTAACATGTATATATACGTGTGCTTCAGACAGAAGGTTTGGCAGCATAAAAGGCTTAAGACGTCACTTCGGAGCGAATATGTCGGATGCGAGTGTGTCCTCGCATTCCGTGTTACATATTCATAACCAGGAGGAAATCGACTTTAATAAGGTTATTTCTGACTTCGCCAGTAAAGAAGGCCGCAGAAGATTAGCTCTGTGCTTGTAAATGAAAACCAGTACAATTTCTAGGAAAACTGACCAGTTATATTCTCACATAACCTTAGACTTTTAGCTCTTGAAGATCTAGGTATACAGATTGATTGTTTTGTTTACGTACATTTGTAAGAGCCGCGCAAATAATGGAAATTTATTTAAGCCACAGTTACGTCAACGTAAGTGATTTTACGCCTGTCGGTAATAAAAAAATCACTCATTTGTAAATGAAAGTATGAGATACTGCAAGGTTGTTGGCTTATCAAATAATCAGCGATTGTCTTTGAGGTGCTACAGTCAATGGACCAAGGAAGGTGACAAAAAATGTTACGACTTGGTTGTCATTTCATACACAATGAAACGCTAGGCTTACAACGTAACCTTGCCTTTAATCAAGTCACCTGAAAAAGATTTGGGACTTCCGGATCAAGGGTGAGGGAGATTTTGGGAAATTGTGCGAACCTCTGGTATGAGTATACATTGAAGACAATGATGAAAAATAAAGCTGATCAAAGCCAGAGAACATACTCTACCCCATCTCTCCGGACGGGGTAGAGTTGTTGCAGCCTTTCTGCGACCTGAGTTGTAAAAGACCTCCTGAACTGGCTGTATTCCATCGCGACATTTTCGTCGTTTATCATTGGGCACATTGCGTTAAGGTATTTAATGACAGAGGAGTGTATATGCATGATATTGGCAGCGAGGAGCCTTGTGAAGAGAGTGTAGTACGTCCCCGGTAGAACTTGATGTGGACTCTTCAATATTAAATTATTTGTGATACTAGTAACTGGAGATTGAAAGTGTTCACTTTGGAGGGAAAATTTGTGACCTCGATAGTCGATGAAATCACAGGTCCTTGGTTCGTATCTGTTTGCAACAATGGAGATGTAATGGTCGCTGTTGCCTTCAAACATTGTATTCATATTTTACGATAAGCTAGACCGTAGGACTGATTTATTTTATTTTCCCATATAACATGAAAAAGAGGGAAGGTTACACAGATGAAAAAATTCACAATTGTGATAAAGCTGACAGCAATCATAGATATTATTTTATTAATAATAGCAGTTCAGTAATATTAGGAATTTAGGAGGGTGTGGCAGGCAAGTCCAATAGTAACTGGAAGCTTGTCTAGACTGAGGATCTGGGTTGTTTCGACGAATGACAACAAGAAAATTCCGGCAGGTGAACACACACAAAAAAACGCCCCCTCCCCCCCTAGCTCAAGGTCTGGATCCGCCAGTGGTTCAGCTTGGTCTGTACTCTTATCGACAACGATATTCGTCATCACAGCGGAATAACTATTGTGGACCCATGAGGCACAGTTGTCGATTTGTTTTTTACCACAATTTCGACGTCAGAGAGAACGATTCTTTGAGTGCGTGTTCATTGCGTGACACGGTTTTGACCTAGCGTTACATTTTTTCGGGGGAGAGGAGGTAATTTTCTCAAGAGGAACATTGATACAGGCCAGTTTTCACTGCTTATCACAGCTTGATCATGGACTCTAAAATCTCACCATAGAGAAAGAGGTCTCAGTCTACTTTTCAATATAATAACTGTTGCAGTTTCAAATGTGTACTTGCATTTAGGAATCTATAATATATACTGGGATCATGACATTTAGAAATGAAAAGCCATTTTAAGTGAACGTATCGTTAAGAGTTTAGTAATCGTTTCTAACTCTTTGCTTCTAGTTTAACTTATTAGATATCCACCGCGCGGAATTATAATATTCACAAGTCTCGTTGTCATTGTAATATTGGCTCTACTATCGTCTTTAATAAAAGGCAGAAAAAAAGCTGCGAAGGGCAGCAAAAAGATGGCGCCGAACTGGCTGTGCTTCTGATTTTTTTTTAATTTAAATCTAAGAGGAACTACACCACTTATCTTATGAATACTGCGCGTCGTGAATTTTTTAAGGAATTCATCGATAAGAACAGTTCCAATCCGAGGGATTTGTTCACGGCAACTAAGAAACTACTGAAGCATGATCATGTTTTTCCTTTTCCACCATTAAATAATTTATTAACTCTTGCCAATGAGATGGGCACGCTCTTTTTTTGATAAGATCAGAACGATTCCCGCTGAGCTTGATAAATTAACATCTTCAGCTTTATTAGAAGTTTGTAGCGAGGATACTGAATCATGGTCTGGTGCTTTGATGGATCATTTTAAACCATTGTCAGAAGGAGATGTGCGTAAACTCATTGAAGGTTTTCCTAAGAAAAGTTGTATTTTGGATCCCATCCCAACGTCTTTGGTGATTAATTGTATTGACGTGCTTCTTCCAGCTATTACCAAAGTCATTAATCTGTCCCTGGAGTCTGGTTCGTTCGCATTAAACTGGAACTGTGCACTGGTTAATCCGTTATTAAAGAAGACCCGTCTTGATCTGGTATTTAAGAACTATAGGCCAGTCATGATCAGTAATCTTCAGTATGTGTCAAAACTTACTGAAAGAGCTGTCTTCAATCAGTTGCATGAACATATGATGGCAAATAGCATTTTTCTCTTATTCCAGTCTGCATATAGAAAATACCACAGTACTGAGACTGCATTACTGAGAGTAATGAATGATATTCTTTTAAAGATGAACTCCCAACATGTAACGTTATTGGTTCTATTGGATCTTAGCGCAGCATTTGACACAGACA